TGGACCGGGAGGAGCTGTGCGGCCAGTCCGCCACCTGCATGCTCCCCTTCGAGCTGCTGCTCTCCAACCCCCTGCAGTTCTTTCGGGTCGAGGTGGCTCTGGAGGATATCAATGACCATTCACCTGTTTTCCCTGTGGAACGAGTCACTTTTGACATCCCGGAAAGGAGTGACCCCGATTCGCGGTTCCCTCTGGAGGTGGCTCGGGACCTCGATGTTGGCAGCAACACAGTCCAGGCATACAGCATCTCTTCCAAGAACGAATATTTCACTGTCTCCTATGGAAGTAGGAGTAATGGTGACAAATATCTTGAACTTGTCTTGGAGAAGCCGCTAGACAGAGAGGAGCAGGCAGAGATGGGTTTCCATATTATTGCTGTGGACGGTGGCTCTCCTCCCAGAAGTGGCACCATCGAGATCTATATTGTCATTCGGGATGTAAATGACAATGCTCCCATATTCACAAAAGAGCGTTACGTAGGGAAGGTTTTGGAGAACATGCCAGAAGGGTCAGTAGTGCTGACTGTGCTGGCAACAGATAAGGATGCAGGAATTAATGGAGAGATCTCCTGTCAACTCAGTGAAGTAGTGGGAGACAGTGACTCAATATTTGTAATTGATTACAAAACTGGTGAAATTAAACTCACAAAACCTCTGGACTTTGAGGCTGCACAAAGTCACGAACTGAGTGTGAGAGCCAGAGATGGTGGGGGACTCTCAGCCATCTGCAAAGTGCTGGTGGAGGTGGTGGATGTGAATGACAATGCCCCAGAGGTGGTGGTCAGCTCCTTCAGCAGTCCCCTCCCCGAGAACACAGCGCCCGGCACGGTGGTTGCCCTGTTTACGGTCAGGGACCGGGATTCTGGGGCCAACGGGAAGATCTCGTGTGGCCTCGAGGATCAGCGCTTCTTCTCGCTGCGGCCAGCCTATAAGAATTACTATGAGCTGGTGACAGTGAGCGCGCTGGACCGCGAGGAGACGGCTCGCTACATCCTCAGGGTGACGGCGGCAGACGCGGGGTCGCCTCCTCTGACGAGCACGCAGACCTTCACCGTGGACATCTCGGATGTCAATGACAACGCCCCCGTCTTCAACCAGACGTCGTACACCATGTACGTGCGTGAGAACAATGTGCCCACGGTGTTTGTTGGAGCCGTCAGCACTGCCGACGCTGACGTGGGGCTCAATGGCAAGGTGAGCTATTCGCTGGCAGCGGTGCAGGCGGCAGAGGGGCCTTGGTGCTCGTGCGTGTCTGTGAACTCTGAGAACGGGCACGTGTTTGTGCTGCGGCCCCTGGACTACGAGCGCTTGAGGCAGACGGAGGTGACGGTCAGTGCCTCTGACGCGGGCTCTCCTCCCCTCAGAGCCAACGTCAGCGTCCGCCTCGTGGTGCTGGACGAGAACGACAACGCCCCGCTCGTGCTGTACCCAGGCCAGGACAGCAGCCCAGCGTCCAGTGAGCTGGTGCCCGTGTCGGCCGAGGCGGGCTACCTCATCACCAAAGTGGTGGCCGTGGATGCCGACTCCGGGCAGAACTCGTGGCTCTCGTACCACCTGCTGAGGGCCAGCGAGCCAGGGCTGTTCACGGTGGGTGTCCACAGCGGGGAGGTGCGTCTGAGGAGGCCGGTGACGGAGAGAGACAGCGTGAGGCAGAAGCTCCTTGTCCTGGTCAGAGACAACGGCAAGCCGCCCCTGTCGGCCACGGCAGCTGTGAGCGCGCTCCTGCTCAAGGACTTGTCAGACGTGCGCCTCCCCGGGCACAGCAGCCCGGCGCCAGAGGATCAGGCTGGCTCCCTCACCACCTATTTAATCATTGCCCTGGTGTGTGTCTCCCTGCTCTTCCTCGTCTCCACCGCACTCTTTGTGGCTCGCAAGGTGTGCAAGAGAAAGGAGCTGAAGGCTGGCCATGTGCTTTATGGTGCCGACAACTTGCAGAGCGGCCTGGCCGATGGGGCCGCTGCAGGGAGCCTGCCCCGCGCCTATTGCTACGAGATCAGCCTCACAACGGGCTCGGGCAACAGCGAGTTCAAATTCCTCAAGCCCATCCTGCCCAGCGTGCCACCACAGCACTGCGCCGTGGGCCAGGGCCCGGAGGATGAACAGCATTTCCCCTGTGTCCCTGTCAGCACCGAGGACACGGCACCAGACAATCCTGGCACTCTCTCTGCAGGACACTTCAATTCTCTTTCCTTCAACTAGCTGGGCTCTGCACTGCCAGAGGCTTCACTGCCCATGGGAGATTGGGATCCAGGCAGCAGCAGGTGGCAATGGTTTCTCCAGAGAAAACTTGTATTTCCAATGTCATAATCAATTTCCTTCATATTCTATTTCAGAATAGAAGTTGTCAGGTTCTCCAGAAGGGAAAAGCAGAAGCAAATTAGAGAAAGTTGGTCTCTCATTCTGGCTGTGATATGCTTCATCTCTGATATTGTCATTTCTGATAGGCTTTAAGAAGGGGATT